CCCCCCCTCTTAGTGCCGCTCTGATCCTAACACTTGGACTACTCCGATCTGCTGAACAAGATATGCATTATTCTGCCTCCTGCAAACGCACTTGCTAGATTGTGACTCCCCATCAATACAGCCCCTGCTACACCCTTCAAGGCCTAGCAACATGCTGAACTCGTTGCACACTTCAGCCTCCTACGGACGTATCCTTCACATGCCGAAGAGAAAGTTTCAATGCTCCATGGCGTCGAGTTTTGGTCGCCTTGGGATGACCGCGAACATTCCGTCGTCCGCATACAAGCCCATGCATGAGTACCGAATTCTTTGAGTTAGCAATTCCCCTCACCTCTGTGAGCTTTGCACAACTCTTTCGATCGCTGAGAAACTCATTCCACCTTGCATGGTCTCATCCTTTACCAAGCGCCTCGCTTGTCTTGAGTACCATCAAGTATAGTTGTCAACGTTGAGTTGTAGCTCAAACTCAACCATCCCAACCTTTGTGCGCTCCATATTCTTCCAAGCTTGCCTGTTCTCGTGGTGCCTCTTGCGCGAAGGGTTGGCCATTCCTCTGAATGCCAATGTCAGATGCCCGCTCCTCCGAGCGACTCCTTTTCCCTACATCTCCATGCCTGTTTTCCCCCAAACGGTCGCGCGTGTGCTGACTGCCCTCAACGCAGCCCCGCTAGGTCCCCCACGTTTGCATGCTAAGTGTTTCTATGAATGCTTGTCCCACTCTGATACCATCTGTCACGGACTTAGTTGGTTTTGCCTAAGTCGTACGGCACCCTTGCGTGTCCGTCCGCAAAGGTCAGCCTCCCCGAAGCCTTCCATTGTCCCTTAGGAACACCAAAAGAGAGAATGGGCTAGAGAGAACGCCTCAATCGGGATCCACAAACAAACATCTCCGAAAAATACTTCATAGATAATGCAAATTACAAACAGACTTTACAAGCTCTGAATAGTGGCACAACAAAGGGTAAAATGATCCATTACAGATCGAAAATCTCTGTCACGTGTCCACATGACACAACCTTTATTTACAAGCCAAAAGAGGCCACAAACCCAACTAAAATGTGACTATTAAGCCTTCGGCCGCCCCTCTACATTCTGTACACGACATGAACATGCCAAAAGACACGGACATACATAAGCATTACATCAAACATTTTGTTTAGAAGTTTGTCGGTGACACTACGGAGGCGTTGGTGACGTCGAGGGATCGCGTGCGGTTGAGGACACAATGGTATCGTTGAAGCGGCCGAGGTTGAGAAGAGGAGTCGGTGCGTGCGTCGCCTAGGTTGAAGCGGTCGCATAAGAACTTGCTACGTGGGCTGTTGGAGGGCGGCTGCGGTGGTGTTGCCGAGGCTGAGGCTGCAGGGGAAAATAGGAATCGACGGTGGTAGGCTGGGCGGCGAGTGGCGTCGTCGTTGGCTGGGCAGCAGCGGCGACGGTGGTGGGAACCGTTCGCAGCAGCAAGAGGATTGCCCTGTTTCGGTCACCAAGGGGGCAGAGCAAGGGGGAGTGGCGGCGATCGTTCTCGCCCGAGCCAGGGGGAGCGACTGTTGGGAGGCGAGCAGCGGTCGCCGCACAGTGGCTGGCAGTGGTGGTGGGTCGGCTGGAAGGCGACGACGCTCGAGGCGTGGCTGCGATCGACGAGGGGCTGCGGCAACAGAGGAAGCTCTGTTTCTGCAACCGTTGCAATGAGGGGCTGCGGCAACCGGCGGCTGCGGCTGCGGCTGCGGCTGCGACCCAAAGGGGGGAGGGGGCGCGCTCGGTTAGGGTTGCGGCTGAGAGGCGGGCGGCGGTGATGGAGCGGTTGGGAAGCAGCGGCGGCGGTGGGGAAGAAGTTGCCTTGCAACGGCAGTGGGGCAGAAGGGAAGCGGGGCTGCGGCAGGATGAGACGCTGGCAGCGTCGTCTCCTAGCAGCGATGGTGGCTCGAGTGGGAGGCGACGACCACAGTGGACTCTAGCCGGAAGCGGGGCAGGGACGGTCGCTGGCCGGAGAGCAGCGACGGCCGGCGGTGGGCTGGCCGCAAGCAGGGGAAGTAGGGGTGCGTGGCTGCGGCTTCTTTTTTCTTCTCTCTCTTCTTTCTTTCTTTCTTTCTTTCTTACTTTGTCTTTTTTTTTTTTTCTTTTTTTTTTATAAGACCCTAAAATCTTATCATCGCTCTGATACCAAATGATAAGACAGAATAATATTTTTCATAAATTACTAAACAGAAACAGTTACATCCCTATTTATAGAGTTCCATCCAAAGTTTATCAGGACTTGAACTCTAATAATAAATAAATATTAAATAAACCTTAACTTGATTCTAACTGAATCAAACCGACTTAATAAACAACTGAACTAAACAGACTCAATAAACATTATTTAAAAGTTTAGAAAAAGGATCCTAACATTAGGATCTAAAGTTGATGGTGATCTACGAAGTTAAAGATTTGGATAATCTATCTCGTGAAGAACTCTAAGGATCTCTAATAACTTATAAAATAACATATAAATTTTATAAAGAAAAATCGAAAATTTTACCAAAGAAATAAAATGATATTACTTTTAAATTTAAAGAAGATTACTCAAGTGAAAACTTAAGTAATGATGAAAAAGACATGATATTTTTTATAAAATGATTCTAAAAGTTCAGGATAGTTTTTATAAAAAAGATACTAAAGCCCTTTTGGTCTATAGTTCATGATCGATTTATCATCACAAACCTTCAAATAAAGTAACCTAGCTCTACAAGCTCAGAAATTTCTTGAGTACATCCAATTGGTGCATGAGAAATTTGAATATTAGCCTTAACGGACTCAATAGAAATACAAGGATTGACACGACTTACAACACGTTAAGGGTTGATCTCAAAATGATAATCTCGTCTTGGTACACCTAGGAAAGAAGTGCTTGAATGGATAAGAAAAGATACTCAAGCTCAATCGTTCAAAGTGATTGGATATGGTGCGTGCCAACTTGAGTTGCCTTTACATAGAGATATACTTGGTTGTGAATGTGAAGAATTTAAAGATATTTTAACCATCGATGCTATATAATAAACTACGTGAGATGTTACCTTCCATAAATGACTTGGTGATTAACCAAGAGAAGACTCTGTATGAAGATAATATTATTGAAAACAATATTACTACCATAATATGAGGTATCAAAATTGCTTTCTGAATAAGATAAGAGGACAAAAGTCAAGTTTTGCAAAGTTGTGCACGAAAAAAGTTAGTGAAACAGAGTTTTACTCATCTTCAATTCCAGATTAATAGGAGCTGAATCACCAAATTAGGACAGTCGTGTTTAGAGAGAGATGATCAAACTAAGTTTGAGTCATACTCCAATTCTATGTCCAAATAATACTCCAATTTAGCTTAATCTCAATTCAAGTCATGCTTGATTCAACTCATATTTAGCCGACCCAAACCCAAGCTTAAATCTTAGATGCGAGTAATTCAAAGTCTCAGCTTAACTTAATCCGAGTTGGATTCGGATTGGAAGCAGAGTTGGATTCCGATTGAGAGTCCAACTTTAGTTAGGAGTCTTCTCCACCAGATTAATAAAATGAAGCATGGCTCCCTAACCAGAACAACATAGAGAGAACAAGCAACAGTTTAAAGACAGGGGAATTAACAGTAGAGAGGTGGATAAAAAAGGGAGGCAATAACAAATTCCAACCTTAAGGAGTGGGAGTTATTGCTCAAGAAGCAAAAAGTTTGTTTATAATTGTGAGATTAGATTTTCCTTTTCTTCAAAAAGAACAATATAAATTTTTATCCTCTTTTGAATTCTCTCGTCTTCCAATAACTACACTCCTCCCACAAAGCGTAAATTCACTCGAAAGAAGGATCGAGACCATCCAATCTTTTCCCCCAAACGGATTAGAAATTGGAATATTTGTGCCTCAATCCTGTCTCCTTCACATGTCTTCCCAACAACACCATCCTTGAGAATGGTAAAATGAAGCTTTTAGGAGAAGATTCATCCTACAATCAATCTGCAATATTTGGCCACAAATTTATTCGAGACTGCTTTATGCACTTTCTGGTTCACTCAACCGTAATATTTCTGTAATACTTGGCCATGAATTTGTGATGGATGATCTGATCATTGAAAGATTATCCTGTGAAATCTTTTGCTTGATGTACACCAGGGTTATCATGCTGATTCAAATGATTACCAGCCAATCTATTCCTATCCCTGTTCTCATTTATGTCATTTACTAGCAGTGCAGCAATTTCCAAATGACAAAGGAGAACATATTTAACAAAGTAGAATATTACCATTAAACTCTTTGGACTCCTTTGAGTGAACACGTCTTCAACTTAGCTCACTGCTTAATTTGACATTAGAAATTATCAATCTGATTCAAGACCATGACCATTGTGTCTGAATACAACATAATCCACAGAAAATTGTTAGTGCAGCAAGTAACCAACAACCATATGCTATTTTACCTGAACAAGACTTATTCCTGCATCCTTTTTCACTCCTCTGACTTCCATATCACACCTTACCCTTCCATAATCGGTCCACTGTCCGGCTGCAGCATAAATGTTTGAAAGCATCACATAGGAACTTGCATTGCTAGGTCTGTACTCAATGAGCAACTTTCCGATAGCTTCTCCAATTTTAGCATTTCCATGGCTTTGACAAGCTCCAAGCAAGGACTCGAGCAAGCTTGCAGAAGCCTTAAAAGGAAGGCACTTAATGATATCATAGGCTTCGTCCAAGTGCCCTGTCCTCCCAAACAGGTCCACCATGCATGCATAATGCTCCATCCTTGGTGTTATGCCATGGTCTTCTGTCATTGATTTCAAGAATGTTCTCCCTTGTTCGACAAGACCAGCATGACTGCAAGCAGACAAAACACTAACAAAAGTAATGTCATCTGGTTGCCACCCAGCTTCTTTCATCATTGAGAAGAGTAGAAGGGCAGCTTTACCATCGCCATGGATTCCATATCCATTTATCATCACACTCCAACTGATAGAGTCCTTTTCCTCTAACCCATCAAACACTTTTCTCGCTGTTTGTATGCTTCCACACCTTGCAAACATATACATAAGGCAATTGCTGATGGAGGTGTGACTCTCGAAGCCCCTACGAATTGCAGAGCCTGTCACGCATTGTGTCATATTTAGACAACATAAGTGAGAAGATGCAGATGCCAAATTTAACATCGTTACATGGTCAGGTTTTAATTCCATCCAAAGCATTTTTCTGAAAGAGTGGATTGCTGCTTCTGCATGATTGGCTTGAATGTATATAGACATCATAGTATTCCAAGCAACAACATTTTTTTTATCTATCATCTCAAAGAGCAGGTGGGAATAACGAACATTTTCAAATCTAGCATACATCATCATTGTTGCTGTAAGAAGGGATGACTCCAACACAGAGAAATTTCTAACAGCATAAGCTTGAATTGATTTACCATGCAACAGGCTTTCACATGCAGGCAATACATTCAACAAGGTCACAGAATTTGGCTTCTGGCCATCCATTCTCAATTGGTTAAAAAGGATCATGACCTCTGCAAATAAGTTAGTGTTACGGTATCCCGTCATTAGAGCGTTCCAAGTGATGATACTTCTGGAGGACAAACCATTGAACAGTAGGTTGCTAGCCTCAGTATCACCAAAATTCATGTACATACTTATAAGTGCATTAGCAACAGACAAATCCAAATTGCATCCATTTTTTATTGTTAAGGCATGAAAGGACATTCCAGATGCAGCATCCTCAACACTGCAAAAGCTAGAGAGAATGCTGATCACAGTGACCATGTCGAACGTAACACCTTCCTGACACATTGAGCGAAATGATGCTACTAAGGATTGTATATCTCCAATCTTCCCCCACCCACTTATCAAAGTATTCCAAGAAATTACACTTCGGACTCGCATTCGGTGAAATAACTCGAGTGAAGTAGAGAACTGATTGCAATCACAGTATAAAGATAAGAGTGCATTCATCACTCTTATGTTTGATATGAATCCTTTTCTGATACTGTATGCATGGGCAGATTTACCACGGCACAAGTCTTTAGCCATTGTGCAGCCTGAAATGACATTGATCATAGAAATGTCATCTGGAAGCACACCTTCAAGTTGCATGTTATGGAAAGCACCCAAGACCATGTCCCAAAGCCCATTCGAAAGATAGCCTGATATCATAGGATTCCATAGAAGTAAGCTTTTCTCTGGTGTTGTGTGAAATAGATCCTCAGCTGAATCGATTTCTCCATGCTTAGCATACATTGAAACAAGTGCAGCAACAACAGAACTCTGATCAGAAATGCCGTGTTTTATTCCAATAGCATGGATGCACTTGCCACAGTCAATAGTACAGAGATTACTGCAAGAGGAAAGGATGGAGACTAACGTGACAATGTCTGGCCTTGCATCACTGTGATGCATGAGCTGGAAAACTTCGATGGCTTCATCCCATTTCCCATTCTGTGAATACCCTGAAATCATAGCATTCCAAACAACTAGATCTTTTGAGGGTAGTAGATCAAACAGCAATCTAGCTGCTGTTAGATCCTCCCATCCAGCATACATCGAAATGAGAGTAGGCACCAAGGCCTTGTCACTAAAAGCCCCACATTTCAGAGCGAGACCATGCATCAAATCACCTGCCATAGGTGGTCCAAGACTTCTGCACAAAGGAATCACACCCAGGAAGGTGCTCGAATTAGGCTTCAAACCATCCGCTTGCATCTGCCGAAAAGCTTCGAAAGCCTCTCGGTCAAGCCCATTTGAAGAATAGCCCGATATCAACGCGTTCCAGGAAATCAAATCTCTGCCAGACATATCGTCGAAAACCTTCCTCGACAATTCCATACGGCCAGTCTTCGCGTACATATGAAGAAGAGCAGTCTGTACCACCAAATGGCCTCCGTATCCAGACTTCAGGACTACACAATGAACCTCTTTCTCAGCTCGAAAGCCGGAAACTGCGGAGCAAGCCTTGATCACGAAGGGGAACGTGAACTCATCCGAGCCAAGACGGTGTCGGCTTGAATGCTGGGATCGCGAGTAAAGGCGCAGCAAATCACTGTAAAAGCCGTGATGTGAAAGGCATCGGATCACCAGATTTTGCACGTATAGCGTCGGGTTCTCCGCAGTTTCGAAGACCGAGAGCGCGAGCAACGGCTGGTCAAAGCGAAGATAGCTTTTGATGGTTTGGAAGACGACGGAGTGGTTGTGTATGAGCCCGGTGACGACGAGGAGGACGTGGAGCTTCCTGAGAGAGTCTAGGGAACCGCAACGAGAGAGGCGGAGAGGATTCAAGAGGGCGAAGCTGTCGGGAAACATCGTGCTAAGTGGAGTGGCCAGAGAAAGGAAACCATTGAGCAGCCCTGCACGAGGCCTCGGCATCCAAGGAACCAATAGTTCTTAAACCCGAACGGCACCGGTTCGTCGCGGACCGGACTTCTAACCAGGTCAGTTCACGAATCAAATCAGATCGTTTGGTGCATAAGACTAAAGTACCGATGAAGCCCCTTAAAGATGTTGTCTCAAAACTAAAAATTAGTTTATTACTTTATATTCTTTAATTCTTTATAAAATTTCTATTTTCAGTTTTAATCATCTTTATTGGTCCATTTAGATTTTTCTTTATATATTTATTAATTCAGATTTTGCTTATCCGATTTAGATATTGATTCGGAACCAATTTTATATTTTGTGGGAGCTCGATAAAGATATTAAAAGAAGAGAACAAAAAAATAATAATTTAGATTTTTTCTTAAAAAAAATATACTTAAACACAAACTATTGAAAGAATTTCATGAGGAACTTTTTGAGGTTGCAACTTATTGCTACCTCCCTACTTCTTCTCTCCTTTCTCTAAGATCGATTGTCCTTCTCTCTAGGCTAATATTTCTTATTGTTATTGTTATGCTAGAGAGGACTAATAATCTGTTAGGTGTTAGGATCGAGAGCACTAAGAGGGGGGGGGGGGGTGAATTAGTGCAGCGGAAAACTTTCTGCGATTAAAATCGAAAGCTGCGTTCAAACGATAAAAACAACTTCTATATGAAAGTTGATACTAAGCAAGGTTAAAGTCAATCTGTGCAGGCAGTTTGTAGCTATGATGAAAACCAGAATATCAGCGCAAACTGAAATCCGCGTTCGTACGAAGAAACTGATTTACGTCTAAATGCTGATTCGTAAATCACTTGATTAGATAAGACGTAGTTT